ACTGTAATGTAAATTAGTGTGTATGGGAAAATGGCGAGACGATTGGAATTCCACGCTGGAATTCCAACGTGGAGTTTTTCTGCGGGCGACGAACGGGAGAGGCGGCTTGCGCCACCTATCCCTTACATGTTCCATACAATTTTTGATGACCAGCAGAATTTTTTTCCATACCTGCCACACTGTCCTCAAAGCAAAAGTCATATTGAAAAAATTAGGTTAAGAACCAATGAAGCAGCTATATATGGGGAACATCTTATAAAAATTGGAACCTGGGCTTCAAGAAAGGTTTCCCAGATAGAAAATTCAACATACAGCATTTTAGCAGGTGGAAATATGTCTGAAGTGCCATCAAGAGAAAAGTTAACTTATATTTTTCATCAGATAATTTCAAGTGCTTTCCTAAATTTTGGATTGCCATAACAGACCTTCGTTACTTTTCATAAATTCGTCATTTTGATTAAATTTTCCTGCTGACTGGCAAACAACTTTTTTGGACCAGCGCTGGTCCGCAGATCATGGGTTGGGAACACTGTGTTATGCAGTAGTACCAGATGAAATCAATTGCCAGCACATGAATGAGTCTCCCGAGAAATGCATGCAATTCATCAGCAAAATCGTAAAAATTCCCTATATACAGTATTTACTCAAGTACCATGAGTTTAAAATAGTCAAGAATTCAACAAAAAACATTTAAACATTTTTATATGCATTTATCAGCCAAATAACTTGACCCAAAATTTCCCTGTAGTGTAAGGCTTGAATATATCACGTTCAATTTTGAACTTCAGACAATAATTTTGCATTTGGTACATTATGTGGGATTGAATTATTGTGTTGTACTTGAGTACACCTATTCTAAAAAATATTTGAAAGGGGGAATCATCATTGAATTGGCCCCAAATCGGATTTCTTTTTTGAATGATGGATATAATCACACAGTACTGTACTGATGTAGTCTGTTGGCATTTATAGAGTTACTTATTTGGATGTTTTTGGTTGTGAACAACAGTGATTCATTCCTCCTGCATCCATCCCAAGTGGGGAGCTATTTTTGCTGTGACCCCACAGTAGGTGCACACCAGAGTCACAACTGGAGCATATGGGATATTCTGGGGGTACAAGTGTGCACTCCTTTAGAGGAAATTTTGCTACCATTCCAGGGTTACACTTGGTGCACAAGTGTGAAATAACAGGAGCATCACACAAATGCACCAACTGTAACCTTGGTGTAACTTATTTGCTTACAAATGTGACCCTAAGTAATCCTGGTGTGAACACACAATTGGTGCACATTGGGGATATGCATATGCAACAGAAGAACTTTGGTACACTTCAGGTGCACAGCAAGGTCACTGTGTAGAATTACAAACAAATCCCCAACCTGGTGTGAACACACAATTGGTGCACATTGGGGATATGCATGTGCAACAGAAGAACTTTGGTACACTTCAGGTGCACAGCAAGGTCACTGTGTAGAATTACAAACAAATCCCCAGTGTGCACCAATTTCCCCACTTGGGCAACTTTGGAAGTTCAGTGACTGGTGCAGGGGACAATACCTGTTTTGTTCATTTGCATTGCCTGTCTGTGTCTTAAAAGTAAATATATCATAGTTTTTCAGTGCTTCAATTCATTACACAGCAGAACTCCAAACGAAAAACACAGTGTGTAGATGTCACTTAAATGTACATGCGTAAGCGCTTCAGCGGTTAGACGGATGACAATAGAACTTCTAAGAAACATGTAACCCGGAAATAACGCGGAAGATATTTTTTGAAGCAGTGTTCAGGAATCAGGACTTGGGCATGTCTTTTGGCAGATGCATGCAGCAGTCCTTGGGAAGTAGGCAATAGTGTAATGTTCTTCGTATGAACGCTAGATGACGCTCTTATCCATACCCTGCATGCAGGAACCTGTGCGGTTGATCTGCAGAACGTGAAAAGAAGTGAAAAGTGAGATCAGTGTAATTGTTTTCTGTTTTGAATCGAAGGAATGATGTATGGGAAAGATTTGATTTATGAATGCTGTTTTGTGTATTACTGTTGTATACAGTACCTTCTATAAGCCGGTTCTTGCTGAGGTTGTTTCGGGTATTGGTTGCAGGTTGTCGAGGTTGGTAGTGTGATCAGGGTTTATGCTGGAATCATTCCTGCTGGGAAGAATATGCGTTGAATTAGGATGAGGAGGTGTCAGCAGGTCGTCGGTGTCCGAGGAAATGACATCCGGTTTCAATTTATTTTCCCCTTTGTCGGATGAACCCTTGAATGTGTAAGAAGTGCCCCGCTGACAAGCAACTGCAGGGCCAGGGCTCCCCGTAAACTCGCTTTTCTCATGACTGTAGTCCGCCCATTTGTTTGGGAAAAGGAAAGCACAGCTCTTTGAAATTTCTGACAAATCTGTGGTCTTATTCATGGGTGTATGGATCAAATATACATCTTCGATGAAATAGGGATTTTCCAGCATCGGATTGAAGGAGGTGGTCAAGATTGGTGAGCAATAAGTGCCATTGCATACAAGATGGTTTATCCAGAAATGCGCCAAACCTTCATCCACTGAAGAGTCCCAATACATAGGCTTAAAGTTCACTAGGGTTTCTTTAGTCCAAGTCGCCAATTTTCCACCAACTGCTGCTTCAGCACACTTTGCATGTGCATCAAAAAAACTACTCACGGTGTTTGATTGGAAGAAGCACTTCCTCGGAACATTCTCAAGTCTAATCCATTCAAATGGGCAGAAGGGATCCGTGGTTTCGCAGATGAAGCGTTTTTTGATTGTACAATTTTTTGATTTTGTGGTCCATCGGTTGGGGTACAAGACAGCGAAGTCTCCACTACCTTCTGGAAAACCTGGACCCCAGTTAGAGAACCCGGGCTTGGCTCCACTGTTGATCCATTTCCACTTGCTCTCTGCTTGACCATCTGTTAACCCTATCCAAACGAGGGCAGACTTGGACGCCATTCCGATTTCTTCTGACTGGTTCATGTTCTCTGTCTCTGCTAACGTAGCTCCAAGAGATTCACAATAGTCCAACGCGGTTTCTGGGTTTTCAAAATGTCCTTGCATCAGATAGCATATTTTGTCCCTCGACTCAATCCATGGAGAAGAACAACCGCTGTATACGCAAGAATTTCGTGTTAAGGTCTTGAGCGCTTGGTGCGCTGTTGGACATGTGCAGAAGAATGATCCCGGAGTGTTGACGCATACCTCTGGTGATGAGCAAGTGTTGAGCAGTGATTCGCATTCGTTTACGTCATTGCAGTTCGTTCCATTGTAAGTGTAACCTTGACTGCGGCATTTGCATGTGTATCTATCTCGTATCCAAACGCATGCCGAGTCATCCGAACACACCAAAGGACAATCGTGGACTCTTTGCTCACATTGTGTTCCCTTGTGATGCTCGTCACACTCGCAGTAAGGCGGACTTGAAGTTGTGCTTGTTCTGTTCAGGTGGCAAATCCCGCCTTGGCAGTATCCCGGGGTACAATGAATATCGTAAGTTATCTTTGCACCATTTTCAAAGCTGTGAGCTGCTTTCAGCGCAAGTGTGATGTTCCTTCCAGATGCACCAGAGACGACGATGATGCCGCGTTTCACCATGTTTTCCACATCAGTTGACTTCGTCATGTTGTCAACTGTCATTGAAACTTGGGAATTTAAAAACCATCGCTGGTTGTGGAAGACAAAGGTGACATCTTCACTTGGATAAAGCTCGAAGTTCAAGTGGGAAATTAGGTTTGAACGAAGAGATGTTAACACTCCTTCTGCCGCTGTTCGAGGCAAGACGACATCGCAGTTTTCACCCGCATAATACTCCAGGCAGTTGCAGGTTACCGGAGCTGAATGCATTCCATTTCTGTTTACAACGCAATTTCCATGATTACAGCTAGGTTTTACGCATGTGATGGTATATGTTCCTTTCAGATATTGGTTTCTCGTCCATTCTTTCTTCGTAAGTTGGAGCCTAATTTTAGCTCCTTGTTCCGCGTTGGCTGTGTATTCCCACCAAGTTTCTCCAGGGCCGACCGGAGAATTTGATAGATCACTGACAATCTGTCCGTCTAAGTAAATCTTGAAGGAACTGAAACACGAACTGATTGTGGCTCTCTGGTAACGATCTCCGGTGTTTTTAAAGGATATTTTTTCATATTGATGTAATGAAATGCTTTCCGATTTCTCGTAGCCGTCTGAATAATCTGAGTAATAATGCGCATCACGCCTAATAAAATCTACGGAATATGCTGCTACTTGTTTCAACAGCAGAGCTAATAGCAAGCAGAACTTCATTTCAAACTATAAATGCCAACAACCTAGTTCAAATGAAGACTGAGGCTCGGACAGTTCATTGTCGCTCAATTGTACAGTGTTTCAATAGTCAAGTTCTGGAGGCTGGCTGATAACGCAGAACTCCACGCGGTTTACATCAGTTCTAATTTTTCAGTTTTTACATTTTTTCGGTCAAGTCTTCATTACTGGATACTCACACATATACTGTACATGGAAAAATAACTTCTACATGTATGATAGACACCAGGAGGAAAATGGCCCCGATTAAGGGAGGAAAAGAAGGCGAAACTGTCAGGGAATGTGAATGTTGTCCTTTTGCTGAATACAGTATGTTTGTCCCTGCCTGAATTACCTTGAAAAAAATGCATCATAGACATCCATAACTAAAATACTTTCTTCCTGACATTCTTCCTCAGTCAGATTTTTTCTAGGTCCCTTTGAGTATGACGTGAAGAGGTTCAACTGTAGTTCTTTGAGTAAAAACCAACTTCGATATTAAAATAAGGTGAGCCCAAAATAAATTTGATGAATATTCTGACTATTGGGCAGGTACCCAGAAAACAAATTTTTGTAAGGAATAATGTGTTACAATAAAATCTTATTACAACAAAGCCATTGGGACCAGTAAAATAGCTTTTTTGTAACTAAAAAATGTTTTATGAAGTACCTCATTTAAAATTGTGACTATTGGGCAAGGACCAAAAAAATTTATCTGCTGTGAGCAATTATTGGTCAAAATAAGATTTGTTGTAACACTATTCTACAGTTTATTGAAGTTTGTTGTAGGAAGATTTCAGTGTCTTTATTTCATGTTTCTGCAAGGCACTAGAAAGCTTGCAGCTGCGTTTCATGTTTTGCCATATATGTTCATATCTTCCTTAGATTCATCTGCATATTACTTTAAAAAAAATTAGAAGCTTTCATCAGCTTTGAAAACGCTTTACTGGAGAAAGAAATCAGTGAAGGAGACATTGTCAAAATGATTTGATGACAACTAGTTTGAATCTGATTCTTGCTTAGATGTTGCTGGCTTCATCAATTATTGATCATTTTATTGATGAAACTATGTTTAGTTGAATGACAATTAGGTGGATGCTAATGCCTTATACAAGCAGTATGTTAACTGTTGATGCTTCTTAAAATACTGTATCAGAATTCCATAAACTTATTCTTAATAAACAAAGTGGTTAGCATGTGTGACTTTGTTTTTGAATGTTATCAAAAGCAGCTTGTGAACACAAACAGCAGCATGTTTTAGATGTTGGAACGGAAATACTAGCTGATTAAGCTGACTTCTGAAAAGTTTTTCCTGTTGTGTTGACTCACTCACTCATCCCTCGGACATCTTGTGATTTGTTCACTTTCTAACACTTTTCAGGTTTTATGATTGTTTTTCCAGCTGTGGACCAGGGCATTGCTCATGTATAAGACCAACAGTGAAGTGACATACAGTATTAGAGAACCCATTTTCTCATATTAAGTGATCACAACTCCAATAAAATGGAGAATACGCAGAATCACAGAACTACCGGAAATGTACAAAAAGAACTTTCTGAGAAAATTATTTTAAATGATATCAAACAAATTTTACGTTTGAGGAAACAGAGTACAGGGACATTTTCTTCCAGAATGATTCAAAGTAGCCAGTTTTTAGCATTTGGTTCTACTCAGACCACTCAAAGTTTTGTTTTACTGTATTATACTACAGTACTAGTTAAATCCATGCTAGCAGATGAATGAGTCACCAAAGAAATCCATGCATTGCATCAGCAAACTATTAAAAATTCACTTATATATATTTACTCAATTTCTCAAACACTTCCAAGGTATGCAATGGAGATACTGTACAATAGTTCAAGTATATGGGAGGCTTTTATAATTCCTGCCAAACATGATAAGAATTAGAAATACAGTATGAAGGAATGGAAGGATATATTAACAGTGTACTGTAGAATACAAATGGCCACACACACAAACGTTTCTGCAGAAGGATGTCACCCATCAATTTTATTTTAGTTTTGACACAGGTTCTCTAGAAAAATAAAACCTTTAAGGGAAGATTGTTGCAAAACGAATTTGCCCCCCAAAACAAAGTTTCACTTCTAAGTTTTTCGTTCAAAAACACTAGATAAAACAAAATTTGAACAAATTTTTACTCTCAAGGTTTCTCTATAGAGAAATTCTTCAGACAAAGCGCATTATTATTGTCATTAAAAAGCTTTTTTGGAGAAATAAAACGATGGGGAGATATTGGCAAAAAGATTTGAGGAGAATTATGTTGATTCTTGTACAGGCCTCAATTAGAAATTGTCATTCTTTCCAGAACAATATTTAGTTGAATGAAAATTAGATGAATGCTGACATCATACAATGAGCAGTATGTTAAATGTTGATGTTTTACATCTGAATACCATGAACTTCTTGAAAAAAGAATTCTTAAAATTTCTGACTTAACCCTTAAATGTTATCAAAAGCAGCTTCTGTATATGCACCAACAGCAGTTTTTTTTTTCAATGTGTGAACGGAAATATTTATCTGATCATGCTAAGTTCTTCCAGCTGACTCACTCACTTATCTTGTCAGTTGTTCTCTCTGCAAGGCTTCTTATGCCTCAAAATATAATTTTCCTGCTGTGCGGGTACTGCTCTTGTATGTGACTAACAGTGAAAAGGCCCATACTTGACAACTCATTTCTTCATATTGAGTGATCACAACTCTAGAAATGTGTACATTACTTGGATTCAGAAGATACTCAAGAATCACAGAAGGTACACATGGAATATTCCTTAAAAATCATTTTAAATGATCTCAAACAAAGTTTGGTTAACAGGAAACACTGGGAAATTTTCTTCAAGAATGATTCCAAGTTACAAGTTCTTAGGATTTGGTTCTACTCAAATCCCTCCAAATATGTTTTAATAATACTACCACATGAAATCAATTCAAGCACAGCACCAATGAGTAACATTTAAAAAATCATGCAATACATCAGGAAACTCATAAAAAATTCACTACAAAATCATCTCAATTCCTCACACACCTTCAAGCTTTGCAATGAAGATAATTCAAATGATATATTTCTTGCATAATTTCAGCCCAAAAAAACACAATTATAAAGATGCAGTAAATAATGGCAGCACTGTAGAATACAAATTGCCACAAAAAAAATATTTCCTTGCAGAAAATTTGGAAATAAAATGAATGTTCATCTGAATTATGAGCCACAACCCTGCAATAAGTGAATATGATAAAACATCATGCGTTTCCGCGTTTGTGCTTAAAAATCGATGTCAATCTTCTTTGCCCTTTGTATAAATTTAAGTTCTGAGAAAGTCAAAAATGCAACAATGCTCGCACTAAGAATTTTCACTACGAAACGAAGTTTCACTTGCCGGTTTTCTTTAAAGAAAAATAGATAAAGCAAATTTTAACTCTGCAGGTTTTCTCTGTAGAGAAATTCCAACAACGCGCATTATTTTCAACAATTAACGAAAAAGTGTAATTGCATGCGAAGTATTTCAATAATCACTGTAGTAGGGTTCAGAAACATAATTCAGATGTACATTCATGTTATTCAAGTTCTTCTGTGAGGACAAGTATAGAAGCAATAATCGTCCTTGATATCATCAAGCCGGTGCAGAAGATGAAAAATACGCTTTATTCTTCGTGTCATCATTCTGACTGCGGAACCCCTATATACATGCTGAGATATGCTGAATTATGTTTTCGATAAAGTCCTGTAAAAATTTTCAGCTGAAGAGTTGAATATTTCTCAATAAATGCACTTGAAAATTATGTGTACAGTACTTCATGTAAGGTTCATGGTGTTGATGAGTCAAGCACCACTGCCTTCTATGTTTTCGTCCTCGAATGCATGAATGGTCACGTTCCCGGACTCCGTCGTCGTGTTGATGCTTGGTGTCCAGTTATTCACGCTGGTAGTCGTTGATTCCGCTGTTCTGGAAAACTCAATTGCATCGGAGTTATCTTCCTTTATTGCTGATGTCGATCTATTCAATGCAAATGAACTCCGACGCTGGCAGGCAACAGTTGGACCAAGACTGTCCCGGAATTCGCTATTATCTTGTTTGTAGTCGGCCCATTTGTTGGGGAATAGGAACGCGCAGCTCTCCGATGCTGATCCAGCACCTGATCGACGTGCTTCGACTCCGGGGTTGAAGGATGTGGATGTGATAGGTGAGCATTGCTTGTCGACACATAACTGGTGATCTATCCAAAATTGAGCCAAACCCTCGCCCGGTGCCGTGTCCCAGAAAATAGGTTTGAAGTTCACGAGGGTTTCCTTACTCCAGGTCGCGAGTTTTCCGTCAACGGCTGCTTCTGCGCACTTATCTCGAGCTTCCTCGAAACTGCGCGCGATCGTGGACTGGAAGAAGCACTTCTTGGGAACATTTTCGAGTCGTGTCCATTCAGATGGGCAAAATGGGTCGGTGGCCTCGCAAATGAAGCGTTTTTTGGCTGAACAATCCTGGAATCGTGTTGTCCACCGGTTAGGATATAACACAGCGAAATCCCCTGTGCCTTCCGGAAAACCGGGTCCC